TAATCTAATTAGCACACAGCAGAGTGGAGCTCCATCACATGTATAAGTGCCCTAAGTCTCCAGTTGGTACACTTGAGAAGCAAATCTGTGTCCCAAGTGCTATATGTATATGTATAGAGGCATTTGCTACAACCTGTGACAACCAGAAACAAGAGGTGTGAACTACCCCCTTCCTTTTGATTGGCATTACCCTAAAACATCCATGATGATATTTCAGGTATCATTTTATTAAATATACCCTTCCTCATTATGAAAAGAGAAGTGGTATTATGATGAAGACTTACTCTGACATTTCTGCCTCTGCCCTCCCACAAACAAAAAGATGGAAGTGATCCTTAGGAGGAAACTGAAGGACTAGAAAGCTGTGAGTACACAAATTAAACTATGTACATCTTTAATCACACATCATGAGGGTTGCCTATAATGAAACTGGTTTAATCTTCTGGAAAGGAGTCAGTTTCTGTCAATTTGAGAATTGCTAAACTATTTCCTACCATTTAAAGTAGTGGTTCTCAATTGGTGCCATGATACTGGCCCCAGCACCTCCACTGCTGCCAGAGAATGAAATTACCCCAGATGCCTTTGTCTTCAGGAAGCATGTCAGAGTTGAACTGACAAGCAGCAGAGCAGTGCACCAGTCTGCATTCTGTTAATCAGGCATTTTCTCCAGCATTTCTCTTCAGGCTGCTGGTGCCACCAGGGTGAACTGCCCAGTGTGCCTTCATTTTTCTGGAGGCATGTCAGAGCCAAACCAGGAAGAACTGTAGCAGAAACAGTGTACCTGCCAACAGGGGCTGATCCAGTGGGGGGTGCAGTGTAGCAGGTGCACCCCCATTCCCTTTTGATTCCTGCTCCACCTAAACTTTAAAACCAACCACCAGGAAGGGCAGCAGCATTTCTCTTCAGGCAATCCTGAGGGAGTCATTTGACTTCATGTCTTATTGTAATGCATCTGAGTCCTGCTAATCTCAGGTGATAGTGACCCTTTCTCTTTTTTGTTGGTTTTGATATTTCATGAATCAAGTTATCATTTCTTTTGTAGTTTTGGTGTCTGTTAGCCATTCCTGGGAATACCTCTGTTCTGTTTCACAGCCCTGCAGTATGTTTTTAGTTTTAGCTAAAAACCTGAACTCAGGTGTGGTAACATTAGCTCAGGTGAACAATAACTTAAGTGTGGAAATGACTGACAGTGAAGTGTTGGAGGCACTGTCAAGATGATCACAAAGGCTAGATTTTGTTTTAAGAATCTGAATAAGAGATGTACATTTAACTATAATGACTATAGGACTAATAAAATGATTTGACTACTTTTACTAGTCCATTGTGTTTTTTAAACTTAATCTATAATTTAGCAATTTAGTGCACATTCTAATAAAGTTATTCATTTTTTCTTCACTCCTAAACTGAATAATACAGCCCTAGCCCCCTAAAATATTAGTAAAATTTTTAATATCTTTTTATCTGGAGAAAATGGATATTGTGTTATATGTGATGTTGCACCCCCTTTTCAAAATCCTAGGTACGCCTATACCTACCCACATAAAGTAATGCACACACCCCCTATCCCACCACTGAACTGCGCACCCATGCAAAACCTAGAGAAGGGAGGGGAAGCCAGGTGACTGTGGCTGCTCTTGCAGCCAGACTGGGTGGAGGAGCAACAGCCAGGCAAAAACCCAGGGGCTGCAACTTAACCCCTGTGGGACACCCGTTGGACACCCATTGGGCATCAGACTCTGCCCTATAATCACTCCCCTGCTTGTTAAGCAGAAACAAAAATGGGAGTAAAGAATGACAAGTCTGAAAAACAGTATTTTTCAAATCTAAGAAAAGTGCCTTTCCAATAAGTTCTGATAAAACATGGCAGAGGTCAGGAGAAATGTTCATGATTCTCTTTTGGACAGTGAAACAAATTACTGTATTGCATTACTTTATAGCAAACTGTATTGATGTGAAACCTGCAATGACTATAACAGACTATGTCTATTTCCAAAGGGAGCTGCAAGAATGAATCTATTGATTTTATTTAATCATATTTTTATATAAAGAGAGGACCAGCTTTGTAACTATAACAAAAGTTAGGAAGAAATGCTTACACATGGACTTATGCAAAGATCAGGAGAGCCTAAGTTAGTTTTACGAAGTGCCATGGCAAATAACAAATGAAGATCAAACTCTCTTGATAGTCTCCAAATACAAGATTATTTTTTATGAAAAAGTAGTATATTTTATCATCTTATATTTATATTAGTTTTTTCATAAATGGTGCCTAAGTATTGATTTTATATGTGGTATATTACAAAGCATCTCTTTTTGGGGCTAGTTACGTTTTGGCCCCTATCCCTGAGGTAAACAGTGGGCATGCTTTGGAGTTTATTAAGCAAAACTAGATACTTGCAAGATAAATAGCAAGGGTGAAAATACTGCCAGCTTCTTCAATTGATTTAGCAGACCGGCATCCGTGCTGATGGAAGGTGTAGCAGCACTCAAAGGTATGACTGTAGCTTTTATAGATATACCTGAGCTAGCTTTCAATAGTGGGTTTTGCTGTCTGCACTGAATTCTGTGCTGCAATGACTATACAGTGAGCAGCACCAAAGTTAGCTAGTTTAAAAGCTTTTCACTAGTTAGCCCCAGCCTCTCTACATTAGCTGCAGTTACACCTTTGCCTGCACTGTAAACAGTTGTTCAGGGACCTCCCCTGACCATGAGGAAATTTCCATATCTGTTTGGCCATTTATCCCTCTGCAGAGACACCAACCAAGAATGCTGGATCAGTGACAAACATAATGGACCTTTTTCTCATAGCGACATTAGTCTACAAGGAATTTGATGGCCCTTTCTATAATAAATCCTTTCATAGAGGCTAGACTTATCTCAGATGGTAGAAACTACCCACTGGTATGGATACACCAGTCAAGTGAAAAGCAACGACCCAAAATCTAGCTGAAGAACAAGTCTTGTGATGGTTTTGTCAGATTTTGTTTAATTGTTTTAACTGAAGTGTACAATACATATACATAGCAAAGTACAAAGGGTTAGAAAATGGGCTTATTTTTCAGCCCCTAATTGTAACATTTTATATGTTCATCCCTGAGAGAGAAAGTACCTGTCAATTATATCTCTACCGCAGGTGTTAGAAAGAGTGCAAATTCATATGTTTACTTTGCAGTAAAGATTGCTCTTCTGATACTGAATATCAGTTCTGATACTTAAATACAGTAGGTTGCCTGTAAACAAAAAATCCCCTGTAAACAGTTCATCTGTCCTGTACAGTGTATTGGGATGAAATCCATCCTGACATTCTTGGACTGGACACTGAATAGGTTGACCCTGCAATCCCAAAAATAAATGAGTATCAGCTTCTTCCTTGTAACATTACATTAAGCTCCCATGAAATCTAATATTTTATTTCTGTTTATTTTAAAGTAAAATTAGTGCTTACAAAGGGTGAAGAATTGACAGGCTTGCAGAGTGAAGTCTGCTGTATAACCAGAACATCTGGACAGTTTAGACAAAATAGTACACGCTCCCTTCACTCTCAATCAGAAGGATCATCTCTAGTGTAGTTGAGTTACCAGGTTCCAGCACCATAGTAAGAGGTGACCTCATAAAAATCTAGAGAAAAACCTTGCTTAACAGGCCCACACAGGCTCTGCTTAGACTGCACCCAGGGCTGTTAGGACTGATGTTGATGCTGTATGTGGGCACTAGAATTTTAGGAGCTGGCCTTTGAGTCTGGCCAGGTTGTGGTAAGCCTTAGTGTTTTGGCAAGGAGGGGGGAAAAAAAGCTTTGCCGTCCTTGCACTTGCACTTCAGAAAGGAGCTAGCTGCAAATTCAGTAGGCCGCTGCCTGTGAACACTCATGGCTGCTTTTCACCACATGAGGAGCAGCGTGGAGCTGTGCTGTGGTGCTGTATCCAGGACACTGAGCATCCCTGCACCAGCCAGTGGCACCAGATATCATGAAGCATCATATGTGCTGAACCCTCCTAGACAGCTTCAGAATATATTGCACTGGAACTCTCGGAGACAGAGCTTCTTCTGGGGTACAGGACCCCTATATGCTGCTTAGAGCTCTTTTAGCAGGAAATACCTGATCACAGGTGCTAAAGAAGCTCCCTTAAGAGATACTAAAACTGTTCTCTCAAATCAGTGCCACTGAGGTGGATAAAGAGTGTGATACAGGAGAACAGGAGAGGAGGTCCCTTATGGACAGCCTCTTAAAGATTTGCATAGTCCTGTTGGGCTCTGAAGTTACCAAATCCATTAAATACTAGTGTCTACTGAAGCTGCAGCCAGTAAATTGTTTTTTTTTTCTTAGTTCAATACACAACTGTTGAAAAGATGCTAGGAACCAAAACCAGAGAGACCTGCACTCTTTGTACCAATGGGAACTGAGCCTAATTTGAGAAAGCTATAACTCAGGACACTGCAGAGTAAGGTAAGGAGGGGGTTAGAATTAAACACTGGTAAGTGTGAAGTAATGAGCATAGAAAGAAATTACCTTAATTGGACACATACAATTATGGGCTCTGAATTAGCCTCTAGCAATGAGGAAAGAGATGTTGGAGTCACTGCAAATCATTCTTTAAAAACCTTGGCTCAGTGTGCAACAATGGTCAAAAAGACAAATAAATGTTAGGATCCATTAGGAAAGGATTGAAAACATTATGCCATTATTCAAATCCATGGTGAACCCATACCTTAAATACTGTCTACAATTCTAGTCACGCCAGAACTAGTAAAGGTGTAGAGAAGGGCAACAAAGACGATCAGTAGTATAAGGTAATTTCTGTATGAGGAGAAATTGAAAAGGCATGGCAACATCATCTTGAGAACAGACTGAGGGAAGATATGACTAAGATCTATAAACCATAACCAATTTGTAAAAAGAATAGGGGCTATTAAGCCTCGCATCACAGGAGCCAGGGGGCACCCATGGGAATTGCTAAACAGCAGGTTTAAACCCGAGGAAGTGTTTTTGGGGGGTTTTTTTAAATACAACATGCAGGTAACTCATGCCCAGGACATGAGGGACAGTTGACTCCTGTCCCAAGACATGGGAGAGGACAACAATATTATGTGGTTCAAAAAGAGATTAGACAAATGTATGAAGGGCAGGTCCATCCAGAGCCATCTACTACAACAGTCAGGGATGTGACCTCAGGTTCAGGACACCCCAAAATCTACAACTGCTGGTAACTGGCAGGATATGACAGAAGATGGATCACTCTACACATGCCCCGTTTCTTATACACTTCCTCTAAAGCATCTGCTAGATGCCACTGCTGGAAATAAGATACTGGAAAAGATGTATTTTTGGTTTGATCTATTGTGGCAGTTCATATATGCTTATGGGTTACCTAATTACAGAATTTTTCGTTGAAATTCTCATTTAAGTTCTGTCTAGTGTTGAACACTGAGCAACATAATGAAATGAACATTTGAAATGGAAGGAAATAATTATAAAAAATAGGTACCATATTTACTGCGTGTCTTGCTGTCTTCTTTTGTACCCTACTTTGATAAACGTAGCCTTTCTTTAGCAAATAGCAAGGTCATAGTCCATACCAGGATTTGCCAGTTTAGCAGCTTAAAAGAAATTCTAAAGCATGTTCCTGAAGACACAAACATTGTCTATGCCCTTTACACAGTTCTCTTGGTAAAACCAAAACAACTTCATTGGGGGCTAAATGACTTTTTGTCTAATCAGGTAAGCTCTCAGTTTCAAAAGTATCTGTGGATATGGTGCTTTTCTAGGCCATTAAGTGCTTCTAAATGCCAGCTAAGATTTGGTTTGAGCCTCAGATAATTACTTTGAAGGATACCGGGCTGCCATCTTGGACCACCACATATAGCAAACACCATTACTTTTATGGCATCCAGAAAAGGTAAGGGAAAATATGGATGACACCGTGATCCCTCTCTGCTAATAGTGGAACAACCTGAGTCACTCCTGCTCTGACTGGAATGTTAGGAAATGTTTTTCTCTGGAGTTGACATAGGGATGATGGAAATAGTCCTCTGTATTTCGTACCGAGGATGTAGTACAGCAAATCTTCACTATGATACTTATCTTGGATTTCCATATACTGGTGGGTAGGTTGCTTGGGACAGTACATAAGACTGAATTTTCACAGAATATTATTGGCACTTGATATCCTTGGTGAAGACAGTTCTGTTATCAGAACAATCATTCTCTCCTGGATTTAGTTTAGCTCAAGTAAACTTAAAGCATTTTTTTAACATGACCATCAATATTTAAATAAACTCTATGATTAAAGAGTTAATTTATTTGATAGGCGAATATAATGATGGGGTTCCCTGACACTAAAGAAAAGAAAATGCAAAGGAGGAGGCAAATCTTAAATTGACAATGCATTAAACAAGTACATCAGATTTACAAGTGATGCAAAATGGTGGAGCTTCACTGCAACTTATGGACCATACCTGATTTACATCTGCTGGGGCTGATTGTCCTAACTGCCAGTTCTTAGGTATTTGGTATGCAGCTATTTTTATCTGGGAGAAGCACAGTCAACAGCATGAAGAATTAGAATAGGCCCATTGCATAAACAGTGGAGGCAAGAAGGGCACAAGCCCTGGGCACCAGTTTGGCCCCTCCCCATGGGAGTCTTTGCCATAACTGGTGCAGCTCTGCACCCTGACTGCAAGAATCAGGCAGACAGATCCCACATCCAGCCGTATATCTGGGGGAAGGAGGGTGAAGGCACAGTCCTGTGCCCAGGGAGGGAGGGAGCAAATGGGGCCCCACCGGGCCCATAGTGTTGCCTGTTTCTCAGCTGCACCAGCCCGTGTTGCACTGCTACAGAATCAACCGCAGCATAAGCTGTCAGGTTAGACTCCACTTCTCCTTCCCTCCTCCCACCTCTGCCCTGGGCTTTGAAAGATTGCTATACCTATGGTACAGGTGTAGTGTTAGATACCTTTGATACCTTAAGTTTCTGTTTTACAGAATTAAAATATCCATAAAGTGCTTATTACAGTCAAAATGATCTGCATTACACACCCACCCCCTCCTCCCCAGATTTTCTGCCTTGTACCAGTTGCATAGAGATTGTGGCCTACTTTAAACTTTTTGTGGCTTTCATTTACTAAGTGTTGCGATTCATATGCACCTAAAGAAGAGGAGGGGAGAATGATTAGTGTCAAAAGCTGAGACTCTTAACTTCATCATGATGAATACAAAGCATGATCCTTTCATACATATGAGCATTGCAGGCTCCTTCTCACCTGCTCATCCAGGATTAGACAAACCTACCAGAGAGCAAATAATCAACTGTTTTCACTTTTTCAACCCCAATACTTCCTCACATTCCACTAGATGCCTTTAGTGCTAGCTCATGTGGTTTCTGTGCTATAGGGCTATTATTCAGTTCTGCATCCCACAGTTTGACAGCATACAGCCTTCTACCCTGGGAGATGACATCTGGACCTTTTGTGGTAATTCCCATAATTAAATCAAGTCTTTTTTTTTTTGATGGAGAGAAATGTTCTTTTGTCTCTGGATCTCTTCTGCCCTTCTCTTCTCCTGCTCTTCTGCCTTCTTCCGTTCCTCTCTCAACTCTTTGTATCTCCATTTAGGAATCTGCAGGTACATGTTGTTTCTGGCACTGTTCTTCCTCCTCACTGGCTCTGGCTGGAAGTTGGATGGAGGAGCCTTGGTAATACGGACTTTGGGGATCACAAATCCTGGTCTTACACTGCTCCTTCTGAGAAGGTGGAGTGGGAGAAGGCTTGCTTTCCTTGTGGCTACCACATTCACTTGAGACGCAGAGAAGCTTAAAGGCTGCAGACTAGCCCTCCGGTCTTTCCTTTTGGGGACCACCATGATTTTGGAGTTCTGAAATAATTTCTCATAGCTACTAACATGATCTCTGTCCTGAGAGCGGATCTCTTGGACTCTCTGCTTCCTCAGGATTTCCTGCACAGACAGTGTGCGTTTCCCCACACAGGGTGGGCTCCCTGGACACACAGTCCTGCAAGACAGGGCAACAAAGGGACTACCTAAACTTGTTGTCACCCTAACCATGTGATCAAGAACACCATCCTCTTCAGGGTTAGAGGCAACCCTGAATGTCACTGCTGACCTCAAACAGTCTGATATCCTCTGAAAACAGCTTTTTGGTTCCGCAGCCTTCTCAAGAAGTTCCTTCATCTTTGGCCATTCTGGTTTATATTGATCACAAAACTGCTCAGGGCGCGGACTGTCCATCAGCTTCTGCATGAGCATAGCAGATTCTGATCTTCCGGTGTAACAAGCCCATTCCCAGGAAGTCATTCCACGATTCGGGTCAGTTGAATGAACATTTGCCCCTTTAAAGGATAGAGAAGAAGAGCATTAGTGTTAACTGGCAAGACAGTGGACACGATGGCTTCTTGTGACCTACCCCAAGCTGAGTTAGACAAGTATCCTACAGAAAAAACACAGCATGGAATTATGTCTTTAAGGATAATGTCATGACATGTAAGACCCAAAGGATCATGTTGCTCCTGACATTTCCTAGCTTTAGACTGTTTGACCTTATGACTTCAATTTTTCATGTAGTTTTTAAAATAATGTTCTTAATTCATTTTAAACAAAACTCAGAAATGTCATCAGGTAGAACCATATTAGTCCCCACATGGTAAATGAGCAGGGTGTGGACCTTTAGCTCTACAGCTGAGGCTTCTAGCACTTGAACAAATGGTAGTAGAAGTAGGCTGTTACCCCCTAAGCTACTGGGAGCCTTTTTGGCAGGTGTGCCAGATAAGCCCTGCACTTCCCCTGAGTGCCACTCCAATCCCCTTCCCTTGCCTGATCCCCCATTCTCCTTTCTGCTTCCTGCCCTGTCTGCAATGTGGTGCCTGCCCCCTCCCTGATCTGCCATGTGCCACATATACAGAGACTGCCCATGTGACTTGTCGCATACATGCCACAGGTTCGCCTCTCCTACTCTTAGCAAAGTGGCTACTATAAAGGAATGAGAGAGGAATTTTGTCAGAGGAGTTCACATCAATTTGCTGGACAGCAGAGGCTCAAGGATCCTGGATTCAATTTCAGATTCTGACAGGAATAGCCTGTGGTAGTTATAACTCTTTCTGTGCTGTCTCTCAAGGTCCTGTGCTGGCTTCCTTATGTTCCTATGCACTCAATTCTGAATCTCTTCTTGTTCCTTTTTTCCTTTTCTCTCCTTGCATTTCATTGCTTCTCCTTTTTGGCCCTCCACATTCCTAAATCCCTTCTGTGATGCCAGAAGGCTTGCAATGAGACTACTAGGAGCACTGGAGAGGGAATCCTCCTACCTGCATTTCCAGCATCCCACACCTCCTAGGACCCTGGTGGGTAGGAGCAATTCCAGAGAAGGTCCTGCTCAGCCCTAACAGTCCTAGGAAGGAGTATGGTTAGCTGCTTCGTGAAGCTGGACAAGACTCAGTCTGATTGATACAGAAAAGCTGCATGAAGCAGGAGCATGAAAGATAGAGATTTTGGGAGCAAACTGTCAAAATCTAGCAAGCCACCACTAAGCATGTGTACACTGACATTATGCAAAAGGCCATAAATTGGTGAAATGTAACATCTGGGTGCATCTACATGAGACATTTACTGCAGAGCTGACTAATTACCTCCTCAGTAAAGTCTATGTCTACATGTGTGTTCCTATTAGGCCTCAGTAAACTAATACAATGCCGTCATAGGTTAGTACTTGTAAATACAAGTACTATTCTGTGGCGGTGTTATTTATTGTTCAGCAACACATGTGTTAGACACTGATGGGACTGGCTGGGGCACAAAGGTGCTTCAGCACAGGGGCTGCCTGCCAGCCAGCCCCACACTGGAGTACCCCTCAGCTGGGTAGGAGGAGCCCAGGGCTAGCAGGCTGACCCTCCTGGCCCTCTTCCAGCCAGGGCTGTTCTGATCTGGCTCAATGTGCTGTGGTCCCTGGTGCACATGTTAGCATGGCACCTGGGAGCAAGAAAACCCAGTGCAATATGTGCTGGAGGTTATGAGCATTGCATTAATTTCACATGTAGATGCACCCTATATTTCCAAAGTAGCAAAAGGTAAATCCCTAACAGAAGGGCAGCTCCCTGCTACATTTTAATGTTTGCTCTCCAAAATAGAGAGGTGAAAGTGTGTCTCACTTAAATGGGTATAACATTTTTTTAACATGTTTGGAACTGGCCTATTTTCAAACAAATCCTCTAAACAAATTCAGCCTGAGGCAGACACTCAGCATTTCAGCCCAAACAGTTAAACTCTGTCAAAGTTATAAACTCAAAGCAGGTCCCTGTAACTGCGAGTGGCAGAAAGGCTTTACTATAAATGTAGCCCTCCTTTCTGTGTTTGCCATGTCCATCATTGCATTTGAATTTCCAAACTTATGATAGCACCCTATACAGTCAGATAACCCAGCCTTGATAATGCAAGGTGTCTCATTTTCAGTTGTTCACGTTCTTAAACTCTAGTCATAGAATCATAGGGCTGGAAGGGACCCTGAAGGATCATCGGGTCCAGCCCCCTGCATGAGCAGGAAAGACATCTGGGGTCAGACAACCCCAGCCAGGTGACTATCCAGTCTCCTCTTGAAGACCTCTAGGGTAGTTGATTGCACCACCTCTTGGGGGAGCTTGTTCCATAGTCTGGACACCCTAGCTGTAAAGAAGTTTTTCCTAATGTTCAGCCTGAAACTATCTTCCAGGAGTTTGTGGCCATTGTTTCTAGTTTTCCCTCCCCAGAGTGCCTTGGTGAACAGCTGTTCACCGAGCCCTTGATGTATGCCTCAGATACAGCAGTAAGCCACAATCAGGTCCCTTCTCAGCCTTCTTTTCTTTAGGCTGAAGAGTCTGAGATCCCTCAGCCTCTCCTTGTACGGCTTGCCATGCAAGTCCCTAATCATGCGGGTGGCCCTTCTCTGGACCCTCTCGAGCTTTAGCACATCCTTGTTGAAGTGCGACACCCAGAACTGGATGCAGTACTCCAGGAGCGGCCACACCAATGCTGAGTAAAGTGGGAGAATCATTTCTTTGGATTTACCAGAGATGCATCGATTGATGCATGCCAGAGTTTTATTGGCCCTAGCGGCTAGTGCGTCGCATTGCCAACTCATATTAATGCTGGGGTCTATTGTTACCCCCAGATCCCTTTCATTTGTAATGCTGGTCAGTTTAGCGGTGCCCAACCTGTAGGTGTGCTGGGGGTTCTTCCTTCCCAGATGCAGCACTTTGCATTTCTCTACATTGAACCTCATCTGGTTCCATTCTACCTGTCTAGGTCTGCTTGTATCAGCAACCTATCTGCAGGTGTGTCCGCACAACTCCATATCCTGATGTTGTCTGCAAACTTGGCCAATGGGCTTTTCACCCCCTCATCCAGGTCATTGATGAAGATATTGAACAGCACTGGGCCAAGTACTGACCCCTAGGGTATGCCACTGCCCACATCTCACCAGGACAACACTGAAACATTCATTTGGACTCTGTGTCCTACCCCGCAACCAGTTGCGCACCCACTTGATTGTCCCACAATTGAGACCTATATCTTCCAGGTTTCTGATCAGTACCTCATGGGATACCAGGTCAAAGGCTTTCTGGAAGTCGAGGTATATGATGTCAACCATTTTTCTCTCATCCAGGTGATGGGTCACCTGATTATAGAAAGAAATGAGGTTGGTCAGACAAGACCTGCCCATGACAAAGCCATGCTGACTGTCATTCAGTATCATGCCTTCTGCAGGTTTGTCACATATAGCCCCTTTGATGAATGTTTCTAGGATTTTCCCTGGAACAGAAGTTAAGCTAACTGGCCTGTAGTTTCCTGGGTCCTCATGCTTCTCCTTCTTGAAGATGGGCACAGCATCCTCTTCCAGTTCTCTGGGATTTCTCCAGAGACCCATGATTTTTGATAGACCTTCGCCAGGGACTTTGTGATTACTTTGGCCAACTCTTGCAGCACTCTTGGGTGGAGTTCATCTGGTCCTGCTGATTTATATGTCTAATTTCTTTAATCGATCAAACACCAGTTCTATGGCAATGGTGGGAATGGTGTCAATCCCACCCTGCTTGTTCTGTGCTCTACCTGGCATGTTGTTCCCTTTGGTCTTGTGAAAGACAGAGGCAACGTAGTCATTTAGGAGTTTCGTTTTTTTCCTGAGTGGCAGTGACCAGGTATCCTGAGGCATTGAGCAGTGGCTCCACACTCCCGTTTAGTTTTCCTTTTACTCCCTATGTAACTAAAGAAGGACTTCTTGTTGTCCTTGGTTCTTGTAGCTAGTTTTAGTTCAGTTCCTGCCTTAGCTTGCCTAATCTGTTTTCTACAAGTGCAGGCCATTGTCAAATAGTCTTCCTTGGAGGCTGTCCTAAGCTTCCATTGTTTGTATCCTGCTTTCTTTTTCTGTAGGAGAGCTGCAACTTCCCTGCTTAGCCAAGAGGGATTTTTTTACCCTTCTGCTTCTTTTTCTCCGTAAGGGAATGGATTTTCTCTGAGCCTTAAGGACTGTTTTGTTAACGAACGACCATTCTCCTTGTGCTCCCTTTACCTGTGGTCCTTGGTCTCTGTAATACAGTCTTGTTCTCTTTGCCACAGACCTGTTTTATACAATGCCCTCAGACTTCCACTGATATCACTGGGAACCTTGTTTTGGGGTGTAGAGTGCAGAACATACTCTATAAATCTATGATACAGAGGTATAATCAGTGCAGGAAATCTGCTGTTTTAGGTATACCTGGGTTCTCCAGTATTGTGTGGTTATATACCTATCATTCCCTCTGTAAATGCACTCCTAATTGTGAAGTAATTTTTAAAAAATGTAGCTGGACCATCCACAAGCTACACCTTCTGACTGCTTGGAGACCTCTTCAGTCCGTGCCTTCAGGGCTTTGGCCACCACAAAAACATGTGCAGATTCTGTCTCACAGAGAAATTCTTTAAGATACATTTGGAGTGGTTTTAGTTTTGACAAAATGTTTCCTTCGCCTTTTCTATACACAGTGTGACCTGAGGAAATGGGGGAAGGAAGGGTACAGTTTTTTACTACAGGGAGAATTACCTTGCTGGCAGCATTTTGAATGTATAAAAGCAGGGCTAGTTGTCATTACAGAAGGCCAGAGAATAGGAAGATTGTCAGGGGCTGACCCATGTCAGTGGAGGGGATCTTGGAAGTGCTGTACAGGATGAAGCATTAAAACTAGGAAACACTCTTGTTGAAGTAGATTTACCTAGGCCTCTAACTTGACTAAGAAAAGACAGCGAAGAAAAAAAATGGTCTTGCTTCGTATTTTAAAATGTTTTAAGATAAGAAAAAACTCTTCTGCTTATTATGACTCCATGCACAGTT